TGCCAGAAGGACAACCGTCTCTACTGTTTGGACATGACTAAGAAGGAAACACACAGTTGCCAGTGCATGTCAGAGCAGAAACTATACCATGAAGTCCAAGGAACTGTCCGTAGAGCTCCCAGATATATAATTGTGATGAGGCATATATCTGGGGAAGGGTATAAAACTATTTCTAGAGTGTTGAACGTTTCCAAGAGCACAGTGGTCTCCATCATTGGGAAATTGAAAAAAGACTCTACCTAGAGCTGGTCATCCGACCAAACAGAGCAACTGGCAAGAAGGACCAAGAACCCAATGACCACTCTGACAGAACTACAGAGTTCCTCTGTGGAGATGGGAGAACCTTCCAGAAGGACAACCATCTCTGCAGCACTCCACCAATCAGGCCTTTATGGTAGAGTGACCAGACGGAAGCCACTCCTCAGTAAAAGGCACATGACAGCCCGCTTGGAGTTTGCCAAAAGGCACCTAAAGGACTCTCAGACCAGGAGAAACAAGATTCTCTGGTCTGACGAAACCAAGATTGAACACTTTGGCCTGAATGCCAAGCGTCACGTCTGGAGGAAACCTGGCACCATCCCTACGGTGAAGCATGGTGGTGGTGGTGGTGGCATCATGCTGTGGGGATGTTTTTGGAAAAAGTCAAGTGGTCTAAATGCTTTCTGAATAGTGTGATTTAATAAATACATGTATAACACACACAGGAATCTGACATTGCTCATCTTAATCTATATTTAATTCCTTTATGTTACGTTTTTAGATGTGTGTTTATTGTTAGATATTACTGCACCACTGGAACCCAAGCGTTTCGCTACACCAGCAATAACATCTGCTAAATATGTGTATGCCACCAATAACATGTGATTTGATATAGGAGAAGGCTATGCAGACTTTTCTGACCAGTGAATTGGAACTTCTAAATGAAAAAGTAGCCGTCTGACAGCGAGTCTGTTACCGTCTGTTACCGTCTGTTTAGCCTGTTAATCATGTGCCTCCACCAGCCCACCCCTGCCCTGAGAGACATGGATTAGGTTACGTAATACTAAATCACTTCAGATATTTATTTTAGCCATGGAGTGGATTACAACCCGACATAGAGATCTGATAGCATGGGCGGCAGGTAGCTTAGTGGGTAAGAGCGTTGTGCCAGTAACCGAAAGGTCGCTGGTTCTAATCCCAGAGCCGACTAGGTGAAAAATCTGTCGATGTGCCCTTGAGCAAGGCACTTAACCCTAATTGCTCCTGTAAGTCGCTCTGGATAAGAGCGTCTGCTAAATGACTAAAAATGTAAAAAATGTAAAAAATAGCATGACCAGGAGACGGCTCACATGACCAAAAACAGGATCCGTCTTTTTGAGGTGAATCAAAGCCTATACACTGAGGCCAATCACATATACACATTTCAAATTCAATCAATCAAATGGATTTTATAAAGCCCTTTTTAAATCCGCAGTTGTCACAAGTGCTTTACAAATACCCAGCCTAAACCCCAAGGAGCAAGCAATGCAGGGATACATCACGATTAAAAGTGTTCAGATTTCATTTTAGTAGTAGTAGTAGTAGTAGTAGAAGTAGTAGTAGTAGTAGTAGTAGTAGTAGTAGTAGTAGTAGTAGTAGTAGTAGTAGTAGTAGTAGTAGTAGTAGTAGTAGTAGTAGTAGTAGTAGTAGTAGTAGTAGTAGTAGTAGTAGTAGTAGTAGTAGTAGTAGTAGTAGTAGTAGTAGTAGTAGTAGTAGTAGTCTACTACTACTACTACTTCTGGCAAGTCTCATTGACAATGACATGTCAGTTAGGTCACGATAAAAGCGTATTTATTTCATAAGAGAAATGACCGCTGCCACACAGCCCAATCAACACCCCTCCCTCCCGCCATCCTCCAGACAGACTGGTGCTCTACCCAGCTAGCTCCAGAGTCCTCCCAGCTAGCTCCAGAGTCCTCCCAGAGGGCTCCCGAGTGGCGCAGCGGCCTAAGGCACTGCATCTCAGTGCCGGCGGTGATTGGGAGTCCCATAGGGCGGCGCAGCGTCGTCCGGGTTTGGCCGCTGCAGGCCATCATTGTAAATAACAATTTGTTCTTAACTGACTTGCCTAGTTAAATAAAGGTTAAATTAATAGATGAGACACCGCCCAGGCAGCTACTGGACTGTAGCCAGCCTCTCCCTACAGCCTCCTCCCTACAGGACCTCCCTACAGCCTCTCCCTACAGGACCTCCCTTCCACAACACCACCACCTCAGAACCAGAGATCATGACTCACACCACAGGCTCATACTGTACTCCCTGTATCAGTGGAGGCTGGTGTAGCTTTAAATGGGAGGACAGGCTCATTGTAATGACTGGAATGGAATGAGTCCACCCACTAGCCTCCACTGGGTTGTCCACTGACTAACCTGTTCACCTTTTGACCTTTAACACTGATCTGGAAGGACTGGGGGTTAACCTTTTTGTTTGGAAGATAAGTGTTAGACCTACCCATGCTGTATTGTCCTGTGAGGCTAAATATAGAGATGCCCTCGTCTGTCCCGGCGCTCGCCAGCTGTCTGTCTGTCTGTCTGTGGACATAGCAGCACACCTGATAGTAGATGCCCTTTTGTGATGTAATGATCAAAGCCAATGCTTCCATGTTCAGTGCTGCATGACTGCAATCGGCCTTTAAAAGATATTTCCGTCTCTATGGTATCGGCATCCCCCACTCGCCCACAATCAGTTTCAGGTCCAAAATTGTATTAGCTGTAATTGGATACCGCCGTTGTCTGAAGTTGGTACAGGTTATGCCAGGTTCAGTTGAGGGGAGGACGGCTCAAAATAATGTCTGGAATGGAGTCAATGGAGTGGTGAAACCACATGGAAAACCACTTCTTTGACGTGTTTGATGCCATTTCATTGACTCCATTCCAGCCTTTATTATGACCGTACACCCCTCAGCAACCTCCACTGGCCAGGTTCCTGGGCCCCTCAGCTACCTCCACTGGCCAGGTTCCTGGGCCCCTCAGCTACCTCCACTGGCCAGGTTCCTGGGCCCCTCAGCTACCTCCACTGGCCAGGTTCCTGGGCCCCTCAGCTCCCTCCACTGGCCAGGTTCCTGGGCCCGGAGGCACAAAGCATATTATGACCGCTACCCCTCAGCAACCTCCACTGGCCAGGTTCCTGGGCCCGGAGGCACAAAGCATATTATGACCGTACACCCCTCAGCACCCTCCACTGGCCAGGTTCCTGGGCCCCTGGCCAGGTTCCTGGCCCTCCCCACTGGCCAGGTTCCTGGGCCCTCAGCACCATCCACTGGCCAGGTTCCTGGGCCCCTCAGCACCCTCCACTGGCCAGGTTCCTGGGCCCCTCAGCACCCTCCACTGGCCAGGTTCCTGGGCCCTCGAGCACCCTCCACTGGCCAGGTTCCTGGGCCCCTCAGCACCCTCCTACTGGCCAGGTTCCTGGGCCCCTCAGCACCCTCCACTGGCCAGGTTCCTGGGCCCTCAGCACCCTCCACTGGCCAGGTTCCTGGGCCCCTCAGCACCCTCCACTGGCCAGGTTCCTGGGCCCTCAGCACCCTCCACTGGCCAGTTTCCTGGGCCCGAGCACCCTCCCTGGCCAGGTTCCTGGGCCCGAGGCACCCTCCCTGGCCAGGTTCCTGGGCCCCTCAGCACCCTCCACTGGCCAGGTTCCTGGGCCCCTCAGCACCCTCCACTGGCCAGGTTCCTGGGCCCCTCAGCACCCTCCACTGGCCAGGTTCCTGGGCCCCTCAGCACCCTCCACTGGCCAGGTTCCTGGGCCCGGATGCACCCTCCACTGGCCAGGTTCCTGGGCCCCTCAGCACCCTCCTCTGGCCAGGTTCCTGGGCCCCTCAGCACCCTCCACTGGCCAGGTTCCTGGGCCCCTCAGCACCCTCCACTGGCCAGGTTCCTGGGCCCCTCAGCACCCTCCACTGGCCAGGTTCCTGGGCCCCTCAGCACCCTCCACTGGCCAGGTTCCTGGGCCCCGAGGCACCCTCCTACTGGCCAGGTTCCTGGGCCCGGAGGCACCCTCCTCTGGCCAGGTTCCTGGGCCCGGAGGCACCCTCCTCTGGCCAGGTTCCTGGGCCCGGAGGCACCCTCCGCTGGCCAGGTTCCTGGGCCCGGAGGCACCCTCCGCTGGCCAGGTTCCTGGGCCCGGAGGCACCCTCCGCTGGCCAGGTTCCTGGGCCCCGGCAGGCACCCTCCGCTGGCCAGGTTCCTGGGCCCCTCAGCACCCTCCACTGGCCAGGTTCCTGGGCCCGGAGGCACAAAGCATCTCAGTGTAGCAGTGCTGATCCTTTTAAATCATAATGAATAAGGAGGGGGACGCTGCTACTCTCTGGGAATACAGGCCCTGATCCAGGTTCAGCACTCTGTTTTGGTCTGTTTCTTGGCCCCTCCCTCTCGCCTGGTTGGTGAGATCATGTCTGTAAAGGAGATCCCTGGCCTTTTCACAGAGGGTCATATTTCTGCTGATTGAGTTGTTTTCACAGGATCATGACAGGTTCTCGTTCAGCACTGTGTGTATGTTCATTAATATCTAGAAGAGTCATAGATAGATATAGATAGATATAGATATAGATATAGATATATATATATATATATATCTCTATCTCTCTCTCTCTGGCCCTGCAACCAACAAAGTTCCACATTTGGGATGATTGAGTTGTTTTTGCAGGGCATGGAGAGTCAAGTACCTCACTAGGAGGAACACCACAGTGAAACTCTGTATGTTCTTAGTCTATTATCAGTTTGTATGAGGTAAGGACAGTCAGGGGTTGAGGTCCAGTCGGATGTAACAGGAGTAGATGGGTCATGTCTGGTTGACTGAAAGAACGAACCATTCACAGACTGAATCACCACTGACAGATTTTACTATTTTGGTTCAGAAACTATTTTGTCATGGTTTCACTTGGGCATGAGGTCATGGAACAGTTTAATTTGTCTGTCTGGTTATTGAGGAGTTGGTCATCATCCTGATCTGGTCCAGGATGGTCAATCTGATAAACTGACGAGATGTATTTGTCTGGACTGGTCTTCATATTGTGTCATTGGGGAATCATAACACTAGCAGGAGTTAGTTGGTTAGTGTCTACTGGTTCAGTATGTGATTGGGCGGCAGGTAGCTTAGTGGTTAAGAGCGTTGTGCCAGTAACCGAAAGGTCGCTGGTTCTAATCCCCGAGCCGACTAGGTGAAAAATCTGTCGGTGCCCTTGAGCGAGGCACTTAACCCTAATTGCTCCTGTAAGTCGCTCTGGATAAGAACGTCTGCTAAATGACTAATTATTATTGAATAACGGCCTGTTGTTGTTTGTCCTGCAGGTGATTGAGTCTCTGGGCATCATGATCTACAAGGCGTTGGACTACGGTCTGAAGGAGACTGAGGAGCGAGAGCTCAGTCCGCCTCTGGAGCAACTCATAGACATGATGACCAACATGACGGAGATGGAGAGGGACAGTGACCCCTGCCCTGATGAAGGTTACGAGGCCACCGAGGAGGAAGATGAGGAAGAGCCTAACACCGTCTGTAATGTTAAAGGATTCAGAGACATCATCATGGTATGTCCTGTAGTTACCTGTGACATGTTATAAGTGGGTCCAGACCTCTCTCCAACCTTCCCTCCTGCTCTTCTCATAAGGAGCATCAGTTTAGGATGGCTGTGGGCTACACTAGTTCATTTAGCAGACAAGATTAGCTTAGAATTCCATGCCATTATTTTATTTTTTATAGTATGTATGATACATTTGAACAAAGCTGAATAAAATAGAAAGGATATTTTCTCCAAACTATTTGAGGGAGGGTGCACATGCGGCTATTCTGTGTTGAGCAGTTAACAAAGAATCAGATCCTCCTATTATGCTTAGTTTAGTTATTAATGTAACTTTAGTTGTTCTACAAACGTTGGGCTCTACGTTTTGATTTTAGTACATTCTAAGGCTGCATGATGAGACTCCAATGATGATTTGAAAAAAGTATAATTATCGAATTACGAGGCGCATATTGAAGACGTTGGAAGAACTGTCCATATTTACTTTTCGTCAGCCAACAAGATGAGTCGGCCTAACGAACAGCAAAATCACTAGCCCATGTCAATCTACTATCCCCCATAGTACAGAAGTTGACCTGTTCTATTCTGTGGGAGAAATAAATATTCCAAACATAGTCTGGGACAGTTGTGGGATGTGATAGATCCCAAATTAATACAACCACTAGCATCAAAATACCTTCTAAAAGCAATGAGGCTGATGCAACAGATGAGAACGTTTATCTTAAAATGTTGATAAACTATTAGGCTATTTCTTCACATAAGCGCAGCAATCAAAAAGTGACCGCAAATGCAATTATGCATGTAATGCTTTTTATTATAAAGGTGCAATTTTATCCTGAAAATGATCTTCCCCAAACATGAAACTCACGCGCTGTCTACAGTGGGGAAAAAAAGTATTTAGTCAGCCACCAATTGTGCATGTTCTCCCACTTAAAAAGATGAGAGAGGCCTGTAATTTTCATCATAGGTACATGTCAACTATGACAGACAAATTGAGATTTTTTTTCTCCAGAAAATCACATTGTAGGATTTTTAATGAATTGATTTGCAAATTAAGGTGGAAAATAAGTATTTGGTCAATAACAAACAAGCAAGATTTCTGGCTCTCACAGACCTGTAACTTCTTCTTTAAGAGGCTCCTCTGTCCTCCACTCGTTACCTGTATTAATGGCACCTGTTTGAACTTGTTATCAGTATAAAAGACACCTGTCCACAACCTCAAACAGTCACACTCCAAACTCCACTATGGCCAGGACCAAAGAGCTGTCAAAGGACACCAGAAACAAAATTGTAGACCTGCACCAGGCTGGGAAGACTGAATCTGCAATAGGTAAGCGGCTTGGTTTGAAGAAATCAACTGTGGGAGCAATTATTAGGAAATGGAAGACATACAAGGCCACAGATAATCTCCCTCGATCTGGGGCTCCACGCAAGATCTCACCCCGTGGGGTCAAAATGATCACAAGAACGGTGAGCAAAAATCCCAGAACCACACGGGGGGACCTAGTGAATGACCTGCAGAGAGCTGGGACCAAAGTAACAAAGCCTACCATCAGTAACACACTACGCCGCCAGGGACTCAAATCCTGCAGTGCCAGACGTGTCCCCCTGCTTAAGCCAGTACATGTCCAGGCCCGTCTGAAGTTTGCTAGAGTGCATTTGGATGATCCAGAAGAGGATTGGGAGAATGTCATATGGTCAGATGAAACCAAAATATAACTTTTTGGTAAAAACTCAACTTGTCGTGTTTGGAGGACAAAGAATGCTGAGTTGCATCCAAAGAACACCATACCTACTGTGAAGCATGGGGGTGGAAACATCATGCTTTGGGGCTGTTTTCTGCAAAGGGACCAGGACGACTGATCCGTGTAAAGGAAAGAATGAATGGGGCCATGTATCATGAGATTTTGAGTGAAAACCTCCTTCCATCAGCAAGGGCATTGAAGATGAAACGTGGCTGGGTCTTTCAGCATGACAATGACCCCAAACACCGCCCGGGCAACGAAGGAGTGGCTTCGTAAGAAGCATTTCAAGGTCCTGGAGTGGCCTAGCCAGTCTCCAGATCTCAACCCCATAGAAAATCTTTGGAGGGAGTTGAAAGTCTGTGTTGCCCAGCAACAGCCCCAAAACATCACTGCTCTAGAGGAGATCTGCATGGAGGAATGGGCCAAAATACCAGCAACAGTGTGTGAAAACCTTGTGAAGACTTACAGAAAACGTTTGACCTGTGTCATTGCCAACAAAGGGTATATAACAAAGTATTGAGAAACTTTTGTTATTGACCAAATACTTATTTTCCACCATAATTAGCAAATAAATTCATTAAATCCTACAATGTGATTTTCTGGATTTTGTTTTCTCATTTTGTCTGTCATAGTTGACGTGTACCTATGATGAAAATTACAGGCCTCTCATCTTTTTAAGTGGGAGAACTTGCACAATTGTTGGCTGACTAAATACTTTTTCCCCCACTGTACGTATGCCAGTTAGTCTCTACACCCCTTGTAAAGCGGATTAATGTGCTTCATTTTAAGACGTTATTTGGCCACTTTAGTTGTGATACAAACCTTATTAAAACGTATAGGGCTACATGAGGTGTGGACTATGATTAGAAAAAGTAGAGAAAGAAAGGCATGCGCTGTTTCTTTACTATTTCTTTATTTTTATTGAATATTAAAACAATCTACCTGCAGTGAAGCCGCTCAACATCTACATTCAGTCATCTAACAGACTCTCATCCTGAGCGACCCACAGAAGCAGCCAGGGTCAACACTCTGCCCAAGGGCACGTCGACGGGTCTCCCACCACGTGAAAACGGGGACCAGAAGCAGCGACCTATCGGCCACTGGACCAAGCTCCCAATTGCCAGGCCACCAACCATCCAAGAAAAGATCACCCCCCCCCAGTTCCCTTAGAGCTGCCCCTCAACCATCCGAGACGCCCCCCCCCCCCCCCCCCCCCCCCCCCCCCCCCCCATGTTCCACATGAACATTTAGTAGGTAGGCTACTAATGACCATCAGCAGCATCAGAGCTTGGAGAAGCCTAGTTACCGTGACTAAATGTTCATGTGGAATTTGACTGCCTTTATGACTTGTGTGGCGGTAATACGGTCACCGCAACAGCCTCGTCTGTATTCTGTCTCGTCTGAGGACTGCTGTAGTTTTACTGTCTGATACAGAGCTGAGGACTGCTGTGGTTTTACTGTCTGATACAGAGCTGAGGACTGCTGTAGTTTTACTGTCTGATACAGAGCTGAGGACTGCTGTGGTTTTACTGTCTGATACAGAGCTGAGGACTGCTGTAGTTTTACTGTCTGATACAGAGCTGAGGACTGCTGTAGTTTTACTGTCTGATACAGAGCTGAGGACTGCTGTAGTTTTACTGTCTGATACAGAGCTGAGGACTGCTGTGGTTTTACTGTCTGATACAGAGCTGAGGACTGCTGTAGTTTTACTGTCTGATACAGAGCTGAGGACTGCTGTAGTTTTTCTGTCTGATACAGAGCTGAGGACTGCTGTAGTTTTACTGTCTGATACAGAGCTGAGGACTGCTGTAGTTTTACTGTCTGATACAGAGCTGAGGACTGCTGTGGTTTTACTGTCTGATACAGAGCTGGAAATACCCCAATAGGATGCCATGTGGGACGCAGCCTGGTCTGAACAAGCCTGGTCTGCTGTCAGTTTACCTGGAATTCCCCCAGCGTCCCTCAGAGGAGGAAGAATGAAGATGAGACCTGTGTGTCCCAAACGGTACCCTATTCCCCGTGGGCCCCTGGTCTAAAGTAGTGCACTATAGAGGGAATAGGGTGCCATTCTCTGGTCTAAAGTAGTGCACTATATAGGGAATAGGGTGCCATTCTCTGGTCTAAAGTAGTGCACTATAGAGGGAATAGGGTGCCATTCTCTGTTCTAAAGTAGTGCACTATATAGGGAATAGGGTGCCATTCTCTGGTCTAAAGTAGTGCACTATGTAGGGAATAGGGTGCCATTCTCTGGTCTAAAGTAGTGCACTATATAGGGAATAGGGTGCCATTCTCTGGTCTAAAGTAGTGCACTATCTAGGGAATAGGGTTCCATTCTCTGGTCTAAAGTAGTGCACTACATAGTGAATAGGGTGCCATTCTCTGGTCTAAAGTAGTGCACTATATAGGGAATAGGGTGCCATTCTCTGGTCTAAAGTAGTGCACTATATAGGGAATAGGGTGCCATTCTCTGGTCTAAAGTAGTGCACTATATAGGGAATAGGGTGCCATTCTCTGGTCTAAAGTAGTGCACTATATAGGGAATAGGGTGTCATTCTCTGGTCTAAAGTAGTGCACTATATAGGGAATAGGGTGCCATTCTCTGGTCTAAAGTAGTGCACTATATAGGGAATAGGGTGCCATTTGGGACTCAGCCCCTCCCCTGGCCATGTCATCCTGTTTTGGGCGTTGTGACAGTCAGGGTGGAGTGGAGAATGTCACCCCTCTGGTTTTTACCCGATGTTATTTCTTTCTAGTTTAAATGTCACAGTCACATGCCTTTCTTCCAGACCTGTTGTTAATCACAGCAGCATACCATGAGGTTCACAGCTTTAAATGGAGCGTGTCTGTGTTGGTGGTTGCTTGTCATGCACTTATTCAAGGGCTGTGTCCCTAATGGGTCCATATTTAGTGCACCAGGGGCCGTAGGGTTCTATTTGGGACCCTAACAAGGTGTGTAGGACAGGAAACTAAAGGACGTGAATTCCATGTTAATGATGATGGAGAAAGAGCCGTCTTTCTGAATGCCTCTCCTCCTCATAGAACCATTATGTAATAACAAATCAATCACTCACACGGCCTAGTAGTGTTAGAATTAGTGTTACTACGGGTTACCGCTGGTATAGAAGCAATTTAATAAGTCAATTGTTAACATTGTATATGTAAGGTTTTTTTGTGTGCTAAATGATATTCTTGTACTGATTTTTAATGGTTTACTTACTTGCTAGAGCCCGTTGCTCCCCAGAGAACATCAGCCATCAACAACCTCTCTCCATCACACTGTTCCGGGCTGTCTTCTCAAGCTCCTTAGGATAATGATTTGTGTATACATGAAGTTGTTATCAGTGTGTGACTTTGACCCCCCCCCCCCCTCCTCTCCTCTCAGCTGTGTACGTCCCACCTGCCCAGGCCCTCTGATGCCCCTAACCACTACCAGGCGGTGTGTAGGGCGCTCTACGCAGAGACCAGGGAGCTGCGCACCTTCCTGGAGAAGATCAGGAGTGCCAAAGAGGTGAGAACGCCACTGACACGTTTATTCACCCTATCACCACACTGACTAGATGGTGTAGAAATCACCACACTGACTAGACGGGGTAGAAATCACCACACTGACCACAACCGCTCTGCTGTGACCACCAGTAGTGTAGAGGAGCTCTGCTGTGACCACCAGTAGTGTAGAGGAGCTCTGCTGTGACCACCAGTAGTGTAGAGAGGAGCTCTGCTGTGACCACCAGTAGTGTAGTGAGGAGCTGGTGGGGCTCTGCTGTGACCACCAGTAGTGTAGAGAGGAGCTGGTGGGGCTCTGCTGTGACCACCAGTAGTGTAGAGAGGAGCTGGTGGGGCTCTGCTGTGACCACCAGTAGTGTAGAGAGGAGCTGGTGGGGCTCTGCTGTGACCACCAGTAGTGTAGAGAGGAGCTGGTGGGGCTCTGCTGTGACCACCAGTAGGTGTAGTGAGAGCTGGTGGGGCTCTGCTTGACCACCAGTAGTGTAGAGAGGAGCTGGTGGGGCTCTGCTGTGACCCCACCAGTAGTGTAGAGAGGAGCTGGTGGGGCTCTGCTGTGACCACCAGTAGTGTAGAGAGGAGCTCTGCTGTGACCACCATGTAGTGTAGAGAGGAGCTCTGCTGTGACCACATAGTGTAGAGAGGAGCTCTGCTGTGACCACCAGTAGTGTAGAGAGGAGCTGGTGGGGCTCTGCTGTGACCACCAGTAGTGTAGAGAGGAGCTCTGCTGTGACCACCAGTAGTGTAGAGAGGAGCTCTGCTGTGACCACCAGTAGTGTAGAGAGGAGCTCTGCTGTGACCACCAGTAGTGTAGAGAGGAGCTGGTGGAGCTCTGCTGTGACCACCAGTAGTGTAGAGAGGAGCTGGTGGGGCTCTGCTGTGACCACCAGTAGTGTAGAGGAGCTCTGGGCTGTGACCACCAGTAGTGTAGTGAGGAGCTGGTGGGGCTCTTGCTGTGCCCACCAGTAGTTGTAGAGAGGAGCTCTGCTGTGACCACCAGTAGTGTAGAGAGGAGCTCTGCTGTGACCACCATAGTGTAGAGAGGAGCTGGTGGAGCTCTGCTGTGACCACCAGTAGTGTAGAGAGGAGCTGGTGGGGCTCTGCTGTGACCACCAGTAGTGTAGAGGAGCTCTGCTGTGACCACCAGTAGTGTAGTGAGGAGCTGGTGGGGCTCTGCTGTGACCACCAGTAGTGTAGAGAGGAGCTCTGCTGTGACCACCAGTAGTGTAGAGAGGAGCTGGTGGGGCTCTGCTGTGACCACCAGTAGTGTAGTGAGGAGCTGGTGGGGCTCTGCTGTGACCACCAGTAGTGTAGAGAGGAGCTGGCGGGGCTCTGCTGTGACCACCAGTAGTGTAGTGAGGAGCTGGTGGGGCTCTGCTGTGACCACCAGTAGTGTAGAGGAGCTGGTGGGGCTCTGCTGTGACCACCAGTAGTGTAGAGAGGAGCTGGTGGGGCTCTGCTGTGACCACCAGTAGTGTAAGAGGAGCTCTGCTGTGACCACAGTATGTAGAGAGGAGCTCTGCTGTGACCACCAGTAGTGTAGAGAGGAGCTGGTGGAGCTCTGCTGTGACCACCAGTAGTGTAGAGAGGAGCTGGTGGGGCTCTGCTGTGACCACCAGTAGTTAGAGGAGCTCTGCTGGACCACCAGTAGTGTAAGAGAGCTGGTGGGCTCTGCTGTGACCACCAGTAGTGTAGAGAGGAGCTGGCGGGGCTCTGCGTGACCACAGTAGTGTAGTGAGGAGCTGCGGGGCTCTGCTGTGACCACCAGTAGTGTAGAGAGGAGCTGGTGGGCTCTGCTGTGACCACCAGTAGTGTAGTGAGGAGCTGGTGGGGCTCTGCTGTGACCACCAGTAGTGTAGAGAGGAGCTGGTGGGGCTCTGCTGTGACCACCAGTAGTGTAGAGAGGAGCTGGTGGAGCTCTGCTGTGACCACCAGTAGTGTAGTGAGGAGCTGGTGGGGCTCTGCTGTGACCACCAGTAGTGTAGAGGAGCTGGTGGGGCTCTGCTGTGACCACCAGTAGTGGTAGAGGACTGGTGGGGCTGCTGTGACCACCAGTAGTGTAGAGAGGAGCTGGGTGGGCTCTGCTGTGACCACCAGTAGTTGTAGAGAGGAGCTGGTGGGGGCCTCTGCTGTGACCACCAGTAGTGTAGAGAGGAGCTGGTGGGCTCTGCTGTGACCACCATAGTGTAGAGAGGGAGCTGGTGAGCTCTGCTGTGACCACCAGTAGTGTAGAGAGGAGCTGGTGGGGCTCTGCTGTGACCACCAGTAGTGTAAGAGGAGCTCTGCTGTGACCACCAGTAGTGTAGTGGGGAGCTGGTGGGGCTCTGCTGTGACCACCGTAGTGTAGAGAGGAGCTTCGCTGTGACCACCAGTAGTGTAGAGAGGAGCTGGTGGGGCTCTGCTGTGACCACCAGTAGTGTAGAGAGGAGCTCTGCTGTGACCACCAGTAGTGTAGAGAGGAGCTGGTGGGGCTCTGCGTGACCACCAGTAGTGTAGAGAGGAGCTTGGTGGGCTCTGCTGTGACCACCAGTAGTGTAGAGAGGAGCTGGTGGGGCCTGCTGTGACCACCAGTAGTGTAGAGGAGCTGGTGGGGCTCTGCTGTGACCACCAGTAGTGTAGAGAGGAGCTGGTGGGGCTCTGCTGTGACCACCAGTAGTGTAGAGAGGAGCTCTGCTGTGACCACCAGTAGTGTAGTGAGGAGCTGGTGGGGCTCTGCTGTGACCACCAGTAGTGTAGAGAGGAGCTGGTGGGGCTCTGCTGTGACCACCAGTAGTGTAGAGAGGAGCTGGTGGGGCTCTGCTGTGACCACCAGTAGTGTAGAGAGGAGCTGGTGGGGCTCTGCTTGTGACCACCAGTAGTGTAGAGAGGAGCTGGTGGGGCCTCTGCTGTGACCACCAGTAGTGTAGAGAGGAGCTCTGCTGTGACCACCAGTAGTGTGAGAGGAGCTCTGCTGTGACCACCAGTAGAGGGAGCTCTGCTGTGACCACCAGTGTGAGAGGTAGCTCTGCTGTGACCACCAGTAGTGTAGAGGAGCTGGTGGGGCTCTGCTTGACCACCAGTAGTGTGAGAGGAGCTCTGCTGTGACCACCAGTAGTGTAGAGAGGATGCTGGTGGGGCTCTGCTGTGACCACCAGTAGTGTAGAGAGGAGCTGGTGGGGCTCTGCTGTGACCACCAGTAGTGTAGAGGAGCTCTGCTGTGACCACCAGTAGTGTAGAGAGGAGCTCTGCTGTGACCACCAGTAGTGTAGAGAGGAGCTGGTGGGGCTCTGCTGTGACCACCAGTAGTGTAGAGGAGCTGGTGGGGCTCTTCTGTGACCACCAGTAGTGTAGAGAGAGCTGGCGGGGCTCTGCTGTGACCACCAGTAAGTGTAGAGGGAGCTGGTGGGGTCTCTGCTGTGACCACCAGTAGTGTAGAGAGGAGCTCTGCTGTGACCACCAGTAGTGTAAGAGGAGCTCTGCTGTGACCACCAGAGTGTAGAGGAGCTGGTGGGGCTCTGCTGTGACCACCAGTAGTGTAGAGAGGAGCTGGTGGGGCTCTGCTGTGACCACCAGTAGTGTAGAGAGGAGCTGGTGGGGCTCTGCTGTGACCACCAGTAGTGTAGAGAGGAGCTGGTGGGGCTCTGCTGTGACCACCAGTAGTGTAGAGAGGAGCTGGTGGGGCTCTGCTGTGACCACCAGTAGTGTAGAGGAGCTGGTGGGGCTCTGCTGTGACCACCAGTAGTGTAGTGAGGAGCTGGTGGGGCTCTGCTGTGACCACTAGTAGTGTAGAGGAGCTGGTGGGGCTCTGCTGTGACCACCAGTAGTGTAGAGAGGAGCTGGTGGGGCTCTGCTGTGACCACCAGTAGTGTAGAGGAGCTCTGCTGTGACCACCAGTAGTGTAGAGAGGAGCTCTGCTGTGACCACCAGTAGTGTAGAGGAGCTGGCAGACATACATTTTAAAATGCATCCTTAGTTCCCCATTGATTTATCCCCACTGAGAGGTTCAATGTGGACTATCTGATTGAACATTACCTATATCTGACATCCTCATTACATGAAAACGTATCGATTTAGAAACGCACCGGAGAGACCCCGTATAATGGTCTTCTAGTGTTGACCCAGAGCTCTAATGCTTCTAGTGTTGACCCAGAGCTCTAATGCTTCTAGTGTTGACCCAGAGCTCTAATGCTTCTAGTGTTGACCCAGAGCTCTAATGCTTCTAGTGTTGACCCAGCGCTCTAATGCTTCTAGTGCTTAGCAACACCTCAAAATAACTCCCACAGTGTATTCAAATGATATCCTCCCCCCCCTCTCTCTCTCCATTCCTGTCTTCCCCCTGTACCTTGTAGAACCTGCTGCGGATGGAGGGAGACACTGGAGAGGAACCAGTCAGAGATCTCAACGAGCTACAGAACGCTGACTGGGTAAGAGTAACCTAACGTAGCAGGGCAAAAAAATAGTCCCCACATCCGATTTACAGGGGAATCGGAAGTTAGCTTGAAAATACCTTATCCCTGAAAACCAGAAAAATCTGCTTTCTGACGACAGCGAGGATGGTGGGAAAGACACGCCACAATTCCCTTTATTATCTCTTAACACGGGAATGATACTTGACACTGCATACTGTAAAAAAAACGATCCTTCTAAAACCCTCTCAATGTTGACGCTATTTTACGGGGTTGGGGTCAATTTCAATTCAGGAAGTACACTGAACCTTACATTTTAATTCCAATTCTCTTCAATTAGGAACATTTGGAATTGAAATTTGGTTTACTATCCGAATTGACTGGAATTAGAAATGAAATGGACCCCAACCATGTTATTATCTGGTGTCCCCCAGGCTAAGTTCTGGATGCAGGTGATGGGTGACCTGCGTAACGGGGTCAAGCTGAAGAAGGTCCACGAGAGACAGTACAACCCTCTATCTATAGAGTTCCAGCTCACACCCTACGAGATGCTGATGGATGACATCCGCTTCAAACGATACAAACTACGGAAAGTCATGGTGAGGGAGTTCTACGTGAGGAATATTATCTTAAGGGAACGATGGATGTTCATGTTTTAAGTCATGGT